TATATATATATATATATATATTTATTTATTTATTTGTATCTTTGATTTAATTTTCTACATGTATGTACGTGGCAATCATGAGACTTGGTCTTAGAGAAATGAAGGCATTTTCAAAGTTACTGTTTCCATCTGTTAAGGACAGCACCTTTTTTTAGAGCTGTGGTGTAGCTGACCTTATCACAACATGTTGTAAGGAAGCTAACTAACTTCACCTATTTTTCATAGCTTGTCTTATGGAATTTTTCTTTCTTGTCAAGTTTTATGATTTATTACACAAGTTAAATTGTATATCCACTCTACTTAAGCAACACAATTGAGTAGAATAGTGCATCATACAATTTCTGTTTAGGATTTATATATATATATATATATATATGTTTATTACAGGTAATTAGAATGAATCTAAAAAATAAATAAAGCTTTTTTTTTATAAAAAAAATGTAATCTACATCGGTTTTACTCAAATCTACATCGGTTGTCAGCAAAATTAATGTAGATTTTGCACAAATCTACATCGATTTCAAAACCGATGTAGAAGTGTATGTATTTCTAAGTCGCCTTATTCTACATCGATTTTAGAACCGATGAGATTACCTCGCAGAACCGATGTAGATAATACATTCTGTAGTAGTGATCACACCTGAACAATCGCCTATTGTTGTCTATACCTAATTCCCTTTGGAGTTCCTAACGATGCCCTATACCTAACCTGGTTGAGATAGATCAAACGTTAGATTCGGTAGGGTTTATGCCACCTAGACTGCTCAACCTCAGTTGTTGGAGATCTCCTAGTTGTATACGCGTGACGACGCGTTAGTTGATGTTGTATGGGTTGTTGCATTCAAGTTGTATATAATGTTGTATGAATGAGTTGATAGTTGAGCTATTGTGATAAATACTATGTGATTGTGATGATGAGTTGTTGATCACTAGGACTAGAGGAGAAATTTTCAAAGTTGCTCATCCCATTGTGCGGATTGAGATAGTTGTGGTGCTTTGAGAGCCCAATTTGTTTAAAAACCCTCATTGGAAAGTTGTCCCTTGGAGTGGATGATGTGTTGTTCTCCTCTAGGACTTGGTTGGTCCTATGTGTGGGCAAGGTCAAGACACACATGTATGAAGCGACCACAGTATAGGGGCCAGGCTGAGCTATACCGATTGCAAATGGCCAATTTAAGTAAAGTATGATGTGTTGAAAGTGTTGTTGATGTTGTATATCTATTCTTGTATGTGTGTTGTGTTGCTATAAGTTGCAAGTTGAAAGTAGAATTCTATTGCTGTTTATTATATGTTGATGTTATTTTTTTATGATTATTGTTGTGAGTTTACCCTAACATGTTTTCCCTTGTGGTTGAGATTGCGATGACCATACCTTAGTATGCGAGCAGATCAGGATTAGGTGCTCTGCTGGACTGGGTGAGCTTTTTTTTGGTTGGGACTCAGGAGGAGGGCTGATGTTGTATTTAGTTGATTGGTAGCATTTGACTACCTAGTTGTTGTATAAGGTATTATTCCCTACTTTCAGTTATATATATTATGGGACTTTTTGGTTGTGTATTCTCATTATTTATATAATTATGTAGTGGTGAGATTTTATCTTATACTTGTATCTGGATACTATAGACTGTGTGAGACCTAGCGGGTCTTTACACACAAGACTATAGTTATTAAATTTTTGGTCAAACCTAGGTATAAAGCATTGAAATGTTGTGAAATAGATTTTAAGGTATCTTTATAGTATTGCAAATATGAGGTGTTGTTTTGGTGGTGATAAGCCTACTTTGGTGGGGTTTTTAGACTTTGATATGGCTAGGGACATTAATTCTTAGAAGTCCACTTCAGGCTAATTGATTAAATTTCTAAGGGAACTGTGACTTGGTACTCTAGATTATAAAGATGTGTAGCTTTGTCTACTATAGCGGAAAAATTCATTGTCATTACTAAAGTATGCAAGAAGTTGCTATGGGTGAAGAAATTCTTGTAGGAGCTTGGTTTTATTCAGGATAAATATCTACTATTTGTGGATAGTCATAGTGTTATTTATCTTGGTAAGAATTTAACTTTTTATTTAAGGTCTAAGCACATTAATGTGAGATATCATTGGATACGTGATGTTTTGGATGCTAAATTGTTAGAGCTGACCAAAATTCACATTTATGATAATGGTGTTGATATGATGACTAAGACATTATCAAGAGGGAAGTTTGAAGTTTGTTGTGAGATCATTGTTTAATGATCATCTCCAAATAATGGTGAAAGGGAGATTTTTTGGGTTTTGAACTCCCTTCCTATGTGGAGAATAGGCCCAAAATTGTGTAAGTCCATCATGTCTCACTTAACCAAGTGGAAAGGAGTTAGATTAGGGTAGAGAAAGTGTGACTCAATTTGAGAAAACAACAATAAAATACAGAGAGAAAAGAAAAGAGAAAGTTATAGGTTTCATATCCACCATGCAACATTTGTTGAATTACAACAAGAGATTTGTTTACCATAGGATCAGACTGATTTTTCGGATAGCAGATTCACATGAAGTGTCATTTCATATTCAACGGTTGGATCGTCAAAAGAAAGTCTGGAATGGCAGAAAACGTCTCGTAGTAACAACTTTATTTTAGAATTTTTTTCACCTTCTTATTTATCAATTGTAAGCAATTGTGCTTGATTTTACTTTGACTAATTGTAAGAATTGTTTGGTGTATTCTTTAGGGACTCTCTTATACTCTTTGTTGATCATGTGGAGTTTTTCTTTGATCTAGACGACATATGAATAGGTTCACTCAAGTTTCAGAGAATTTCTCTAACTTGTAAGGCTTTTTTAAAACAAATTAATGAGATTCATATTTTAGGAAAAATCTTATATGATCCTCCTTAGACTAAACTAACTTATTGTGACTCACTACATCATAGACAACTTAACTCCTAAAATTTCCTTAAACTTAAAGTTCTAAAAATAATAACACTTACAACTCAAAATATTACGCATATAATTAAATTAATCAACAATCACACAAAGACTACAATGTTACAATATATCCAAACCCCTAATAATATTATATAGAAAAAAGTTTTTGTTTCACATTATTTTTAATAAAGATTAATCATCATAAAATTAATTTTGTAAAATATTTTCCTTCATTTATTTTTTTTATTTCTTAATGTATGTAAATTAAATAGTTTAGTATGACACTTATTATGAGACAAAGAATATATTTTTTTTATATCTTTTTTTCATTACACACATGCACTTTTCTTTATCTCTATCCCTTGATAAAATCAATTTAAGAAAAACTATTCACATACGAAAGTTGCATATGATGTAAAATAGTTTTTTTTAACCGACTTAATAGACTTCTCATACAAGTAATGTAACTCTTTACCAAAAAAAAAAATACAAGTAATGTAACAAAATTTTAGGTTGTGAAAAAAATACGGTTATACATGTCCGTCCTAACTTTTATCCCAAAACACCACTAATATGGTGTTGTTTATCATACTCTTCTAATAAATAAAGGTGATTGTTCAATTATTTAAAAAAAAAAAATCAATGTTTGTAATTCCTTTTAAAGTCTTCGTGATGGATAAAACTTGTCAACGAGATTATGAACGTTTTTTTTGCCTTTAGGGTTTAGGGTTTAGGGTTTACAAGTTGGTACACATATATATGACAAAATCCACCGGTTAGTATTTATGACATTTAATACGACAACTACTACACATGCGAATGTTTCATGTAAAATAAGAAAATTGCAATCAACTTTTTTTTTTTTTTATAAGGAGAGTTATAATAATATCGGTGTAACTAGGCATAGCAATGAAGCAGAGTGGGGGCGAGTTTTACGTCCCCCACCCTCGTCCCCTATGCATTAAAGAAGGAAGAGGACATGGAACCTTGCCACCTATGCATCTACGTGGCATTCATGTGGCTAACAGTTAATTCCGTTTAAGAAATTTGAACAAAAAAATCCAATATTACAATGATTTTACTTATTGAGGACCAAATTAAAATAAAAATTTAAGATGTAACTATATTAAAAATTTAAAATATTATAAGGATCAAATTAAGATTTTTTCCCTTTCGTTATTGTTGTTTCTCTTCTGCCTGTCTTGTTAATCATATGAAAGACAACCATAATGTTCAAACAAATAAATCTAAATTAAGTGGTAAGGCTCGATTACCAAGAACAACTAAAGTGGACTTAAATCTAAATTAAAATAATATGTATAAGATTTTAAGTTTTAATGTTATTGTAATTTTATATGAATAAAAAAATAAGTAAATTTAAATGATTTTTAAGTCAACTTAGGTATCACTAAGTCAATTCATCCTAGGTGTCATTAAATCAATTCATGTGTGATCACACTTGAAATACTTGTTTACAGATCAAATTTTAAACAATACTTTGAATTGTAGTGTAGAACAAACTTGCTAGCACAATATCTTGACATTATCACGATATTTGCTTTCAATTTAAAATTAAAATTTATAATTTAACAATTTTTTTTAAAAGAAATTAGTCATTAACTCTGATCTCTTATAAAATTGTATTTTGCCCCAATCAAATTTTTTTATGAGAAAAAGTTAAAATCTAATATTAAAAGATCCATAATTAAACAACGAAAAAATAAAAAATAAATATTCATGAAGAGAAAAATATCCTCCGTAAAAAACGAAAACATCTTATTCAAACCATAATCAAACAACGAAAAAATAAAATAAATAATAAATAAACATTCATGAACAGAAAATTGTCCTCCGTAGAAGACGAAAACATCTTATTCAAACCATAATCAAACAACGAAAAAATAAGAAATAAATATTCATGAACAGAAAAATTAATATCCTCCCTGAAAAAAAAAATCTTGTTCAAATCGCCGGTCCTCGAATACCCTCCCCACGTTGAGGTTCTTCTACGCCACCACACCCTTCCTACGTTCATTGCAATTTCGGAAATAAAATTAAAGACAAAGTAGTCATATAAATTTTTTTAAATAATTTTTAAATTTTTTAAAAATTTAGAAATTAAATTTATGTATTAAAAATTTTAAATTTAACAATTGAATAAGCTCTGCCACCGAAAACGTGTTAAGTTTTGAATCCACAACTTCATGTTTTAATAGATAGCATGTATAAACACTACTAGATACTTATTGCGGTATATATGTATAAAAAAATTACTCTCTCCCGAATTTCAGTCTTTCAAAAATTTACACTAAAAATTTCTTATTTATTATCCTATTATTTAAATTTATTATCTAATTTTTGTAAAAAAAACATGTAAAAGTTTATGGAAAAAGAGTAATCGAATAAGGATGTAATTGACAAAAGTTATTAACTTTTTTTATACTTAAAAAAATGTAAAGACAAAACAAAAAAGAATTATATTTTGATACGTAAAATATATCCGAAAAATCAACAAGTAAAAAGGAAGTAAATTGAAGGGGAACGCAATTCACCAAAAAAAAAAATTGAGGGAGACTATTAGTTTAAATTTGGATGAATTGATTACCTTTAATATTATAAAATGAGATTTGTTTTGTGAGAAAAAAAAAACTACGGAAGGACTAAATATTTGAAAAGGAGGGAGAAAGTGTGATATATAACTTATGCAATATCATGTGAAAAATAATTTTTTATGACTTTCTCTTTTGTTCCGAATTCTTTTGATGTTATATATTCCTATTGCGCAATTACTATTCTTATTCTATAATTACTTCACATTAAATATTTCTTAAACATAAAAAAATATGATTTGGAGAGTAATTTATAGTACAAATATCGTTTTTCTAATAAAAAAATTGAAATAACCATTTTAATAATATCATAATAATAACCCTTTTTAGTATACATTTGTAATTTTTAATTTACTAAAAAAAAATTATAAAAGAGGCCTTCTAACGAGATAACAAAAAAAGACTAAATTAAAATAAAAAAAAGAATTAAAAGATTAATTTAATTTTAAAACTAAGGTTATCCTCGACCTATATATATAAAGATATTTGTTGATCTTGTTTTGGAGGTAGTGGGTGTTAATTATTGTAGTGGTTGTCTTGTGAGTTTTGAGTGATGGCAGTAGAAGCAGTTTTGTCAATTGCTGTGTCAGGGCTGCTGAAAGCTGTTATGGAACAAAAGAGCAAAGCCTCTATGTTCGAACAGAGCTTGAGGAACCTCCAATACATTCTGGAAGGAATAGCTCCGGTGATAAAAGATATAGATTATAGAACGTCTGAACAAGGAGTTGGGGTATTCAAAGGAGGGGCTGGAATCACTAATAGACATGATAGAAAACGGCAAAGATCTTGTTTGCAATTGTTCAAAAGTCCACAGGCTGAACTGTTTGTCGAGGGCTCGTTACCAAGGTGAGCTAGCGGGTCTCTCAGACTCGGTTTCCAAGCTTACCAAAATTCTCTTCAAGGCTTACAGTGTAAGGGAGCAGATGATGATGCATAAGCATAATATGTTAAATAGCGCGTTGCCACTTCATGAGTCTTCTTATTCTAATCCTCAACCTTACATGCTCGTTGCTCGGACTCTCTTCATTGCTTGGGGAGACGATCCTAGCTATTGGACCTGGACTTCTCATCCAGATGACAGGTAATTCATTATTTCTTAATTAATCATTGATTTTATTATTACTTTTATATACATAAAAGTATAATTGAGATCCAGATACTTTATATCTCTATTTATTTTATATAAGAAATAATTTAAGAATGATTATGTATAAATTATAATAAAAGAGGATGGAGGTTTTATTGAGATGGAAAACAAAATATAAAAAGAGAGGAAAAACACGAATTTGTGTAAATAGTGAAAAAAAATATTTACAAAAGAAATGTAACAAGCAATTATTTAAAGGGGGTTAAAAACTAATATTAGGATATACTAAGGGATCCAAAAGTGTTATATTATTCTTTTCTCTATTTTGTTTTTACTATCGACGGAGGAAATCAGGGGTCTCCCGTTTCTAAAAGAAAATACTTCAGGGAGGGAGAAGAATGGACGTGGTTAAGAATAATTTCTGTGTTGAGAATTTTGAGAGTCATCGAAGATAAAAGGATATTCTAAAAAATTGAATATTTAGAGTTTAAGGTAATTCTTGTAAAGAAAAAGAAAAGGACTTGCTTTAGTTTTGTGAGAAGATTTTATTAAATTTTGGTGAAAGATTCTTAAGTAAAACAAGAATTATTGGAACCTTCGTATTTACGTCTTATAGTGAATAGTAAAAAAATTTAAGTGTAAAATTAATTTTTATCTTAAATATTAAAATTTAAGTTAATCATAAAATAATTAATATTTAAATTGAAAAAATTTCATGTCAGAAAAATTAATGAAAATTAATGATAATTTGGATGTTAAAATGAGCTATTTTAACATCAAAAGTTAACATTGTTTAAAAAATGATTGAAATAGGTAAATAATTTTTTTTAAAGTATTAAAACTAAATAGAGTTAATTTTTGGAGAATAAAAACATATTTAGCTAAAAAAAATCTGTCAATAATTATATCAAATATTATATACATTAGTTATAATAAGATTAATAAATATATTAAACTCATTGTTGTATATACATTCTCTATGAACGACTTTTTTTTATTATAAATTAAAAAAAAACAATTAACATAAAACTAAAAAAATACACCTAAACACATTCAACTATATTTATTAATTATTGATATAAATTATGTTTTAAGTTAAATACTTCATGCATCCCACATATATTAATTAACTAAAACAAAAAATTAACTAATTTATGTGTTCTTTTGTTCCATATATTAATATATATATATATATATATATATATATATATATGTGTGTGTGTGTGTGTGTGTGTG